AGTCCTTAGCATTCTGGTGGATGTGGTCCCAATCTTTCTGGGAGCGGATGATCTTTCTGGGTCCATCTAATGAGCCTATCCAGACCAGGGGGAAGTGAAATCGACATGGAGGATCTATCAGGGGTCTTCTACCAACTCTCCTCAGACAGAAGAAGCTACTTGGATGAGTCGTGCAACGTTTCAATCTAATAAGGAAGAAGTCCAGTTGGTATGACTCAACTTCTAGTTAGTGAGTGGGAAGCTGCTGGACATTTTGAATTTCTAGCAATAATGCTGAGGCAGCATTATGGGGTTCTGTGGGAACTTAAGATAGCAATTATTCCACCAGTAGATAGCAATTACATTTATCAGTTGCTGGTGCTCTTAGTAGGTGATGGGGAAAGTGTTAGACCCTCTGATGTTTCTGGACTACATCTCCCATGATCCATTAACATGCACATATTATCCAGGGTTGCTGCGACTGCAAACCAATAAACAGCTAGTTTCCTCATTCCTGGTTTACTGCACGGCGAGTTCGCACTGGAGGAAAGCAGGGGGAACGGCAAGAAAGCAGTGAGAGCCAATTTTCCACATAGATGGAAGGGACTAAATCAAATAAATAAACAAATAAATAAACTTAAGATGGCAATTATTCCACCAGTAGACAGCAATTACGTTTATCAGTTGCTGGTGCTCTTACTAGGTGATGGGGAAGGTGTTAGACCCTCTGATATTTCTGGACTACATCTCCTATGATCCTTTACCATGGACATGTTATCCAGGGTTGCTGCGATTGCAAATCAATAAACAGCCAGTTTCTTCACTCCTGGTTTACTGCACGGTGAGTTTGCACTGGAGGAAAGCAGGGGGAACGGCAAAAAAGCAGAATTTTCCACGTAGATGGAAGGGAGCCTGCCTTGGTTCACACCACTTCTTTTGATAGGAACTAAATTAATTATGACATTTCTTCTCATTTGCTTCTTTGTCGAACACTCCCCTGAAGCAGCCAATTACCTTTGAAAACAACAAACACAGTGCAATTTGTTTTAAAAATATTTAAGTCCCCCCAAATTTTATTGCTTTTCTGCCACAACTGTCTCTTCAAGGTAAACACTTATATATAAAATGACAGATCATCTCCCCACCACCACTTATCACAACAATACACCTACAATAAATCAAGGAGCTGCGTCTCAATCCCAGTCTGCAGGCTTCTGGTACACTGGAGGGACAGCACATGTTATTTTTACTTTGTGTCTGCTCTCCTGCCTTTTGGAATCTGGATTTTGTGTCCTTGAAAAATGTTCTCTAAAAAGATGTTTTCATCTCTCTCTCTCATATATATGGTCTTTGCTGGTCTTTGTGTACAGTGATCACTGGTGCAGTCTAACATAATGATTGCTGGTGTTGTCCAGTACTACTTTTTTTTTTTCTTCACTGGCCAGCTTTCACACCCATATATGGTGACTGGAAAGACAAGAGTGTGGATGACTGCATCTCAGAAAAGAGAAGTATCCTGTTTTAAATAGGGAAGCACAGACTATTGTGGAGTAAATCCATTTAGATATGCCAGGTAGCCCTGGATGCTCTCAATCCACAGCTGAATGGTGAGGCAAAATTTAAAGCTCTCCTGATTGACCGACTGACTGCATTTTTATATAACCGCACTTAAGTGAAAATCCAGTACTCTGGGCTTAAAATGCACCTCCTCCCTTAAGCATAAAAATCAAGCCATCATGAAAAAAACAAGCAAGCAAACTGCTAAAATTACAGGTAAATAAACAGACAACAAAGGAAAAATAGCAAATGGTAGTGACAATCCTCAGTGGCAAAGGTGAAATACGGGGGGCCCCATGGCTACCTGAGGGAATGGATGTCCTTGAAGGCTTCTTTAAAAAGTTTGGGGGTGTGAATTACTTCTTAAAGATCTGGAGGGAGGAATCTCTGCTGGATCTCCAAAGGGAAGCTGTTCCAGAGCACTGGGGCCACCCCCAAAAAGGCCTGGCTGCTAAGTGGAAGCTCTTTCTCGCCTCTCTCAGCCTGGCCCACCCACAACAAGACCAAGGGAGAACCAGGCGAAGCAGGCGGAAGTTCTTGGGGAGAGACACTCTGACAGGTCCACAACCCAACTGGACAGAGAAATAGATTGGCCTTTTTTTGTTCAGCCTTACACCTTTTCCCTCTCCATGTTAGTTCTTTTACCCCCACCCCCACCCCTTGACAAACGAAGAAGATATGTCCGGGTGCTTGCCATCTACCGTTTCCTAGACCCATTGCTTTCTTGTCCCAAGGAGCCCATGAGGGAGGGGGTATGAAGAACCAGCATGGCAGCAGAGACAGGGTGGAGAAGAAACCAGCTGGTGAGTCATCACCCTCACAGAAGGGTCAGAGAAGAAGTTCTAGAAAAAGAGACAAGGTTTCTGGCCCAAAACAGCACTTCAATAACCAGTCATTATGGGTCTTAAAAGCATCCCTTCTAACGCAGGTCAGGCAGGGAGGAGCCCAGGTATGTGCGCAAGTCATTGATGGTAGACCGGATGATTTTGGCTGGGATGGTCTCTTTGTTCAATCGTTTGTAGGCGGCGTAACGGTGGCATCCACCGAAGGAGTAGAAGTAATCACCCCCTTCACGGCCTTTGATCCAGAGGACATCAATGGGGGGCACCCGGTCAGGCTCCTCCTATGAATGAGAGGGGGGAAATAAAGGTGGTGGAGGATAAATCAAAGTTGTCCATAGTACTTTTTTCCCACGTTACCTAAGCGTGAATGGATCTACATCTGTTGTTCCCAAATTTGGGTCATGACGGCTGTGGGAAAAAAACCCAGAAAAATTATTTTCACATACATTCCCAAAACTGGCCACGAGAGGGCACCAGAGACCTTGCTACGTATATGCATTCTTCCCTATTAAGTATTCATAGTGTGGTCTCTGACTCCATCTAGTGTCCAGCTCTGGT